CCATTATTTGAATGTCAGCAGACAGCAAGAAGCCTCCCAGATCTCCAGATGCATTTGAGATATCAAAAAAGTACTCCAGAGTGTTGTTCAGCGTGGGGGTGAGTAGAAAATGAAGGCTAATCATGTTTTGGGTATACTATTCCTTTAAGTGGGGGTAATAACTCAGAATGCATAAAATTCCACTGGTAATTTTTTTTACCAGCAGGTGGAGCCATTGCGCGCAGCTCCAACCTGACACCAAAAGTTCTAAGCCCCACAGCTCTGGAACTGTTATAGCTAGAGGTCTGAAACTTTCTGCAGTTGTGGTTGACATGATTTGGAACATATATAATACAATAGAACCTGCTTTTTCTTAACAATGTTTTCATTACTGCTGTAAAAATAATAATTTTTGAGTCATGTTTGAACTGATGCAGGTTGGTCTGTGTTCAGGTCACCCAATTTTAATTTATCAAATAATGTCTTGCACATGTAATTTGGGCTCACAGTTCCTAAGTTATTTTCTTTTCCATTTGGGTATGCAAAATAGGTGAGGATTACCCAAAAAGATCAAAACACCATCAACTTCTGATTGATGGAAAATAAGTCAGTCTGAATTTGAGATGTTCAGCTGCAGAAAAGAAGCTTCAGGACGTCCAACCAGCTCCAGGAACGTTCTCTGATGAGAGGGAAGCTGCAGCATCATGCTGCCACCAGTGCAGAGCTTGATCAGCAATCAGAGCTGTTAAAAGTACTGATTGAACTCCGTTACTTAAGTAAAACTAAAAAGTACATGTCTACATTGTCCTTATGTACAAGAGTTAAATACATTTTTTCCTTACTTATTGAATACATCATGTGATGCTATAGATACAGCCACTCCCTAATGTGACTGTGGGTGGTTTTTGGCCTGGAGTTGATGTCATCAGACGGTGTCCAACCTTCACAGGGTGTTTCGACCCTTAACCGCTACACCCTCCAGCTGGCGGGTCAGCAGTGGTGGCCAGGTCACTGCCCATCATCTCCAGGCCTCCAGCCCCCCTCCTCCCTCTTAAACCACAACCAGCATGAGGCTCTCTCTGCTGCCTCCCCAATCCTGCGCACAGCTGTCTTCCTCTCCTTGCCAGATATTCCAAGTGCAGTGAGCACAGACCACATTGACTGTGCTGGGAATCCTCTGCATCCGACCTCCACTGGAAACATCTGGCAAGGAGA